AATACAGTTACACAAAAAAAATGAATATAAAGTAATTTAAAATTTTAACTTACTAGTATGAGGAAGTCATAAAAAAATACAAATAAAAGTAATGATTTTCTGTAGAATTGATGATATCGTAAGAACGTTCATGACAGCAAGAAATTTATTTAAAGCAGTTTGACCAAACCCTGAATGGACAGCACCTTTAAATAAATAAATTTATATTAATTATAATAAAAAAATTATTATTTACCTAGAACTGCTTTAGTGTTGACATCTGAATGCTTAACTTCACTTTTTGTCGCATGAACTTTGTCAGTAGTATAGTTTCAATATTACATTCATTACATTTAACATTTAAAATTGAATAAAGGCCCTTTCGTGTTTCATTTGTAATATTTTCAAGAGAAAGAACTCTTTCACACCAGCAACATTTTAAATGTTTTCCCAAGTCTAGTAATTCCACGATGCGACCACTGCACAGGTTATTTTTCAAGCTTGGGGTTTCCTTTCTCAATTTTTTTGCATTATTCATAGCCAAAATTGATTTATTGCGTTTGTTGAGGACGTTCTGCTTAACAAAATTTCCTTTATCTCGCAATTAATTGATTCTGACAATGAAACATTTTGATATTTACATTTATTTTACTTTAGGAATACAGTTGACGTTTCACAATATATTTGCGACGTTGCCGGATGGATTTTACGCGATATAATACCATATTTGTATATAGGATCACATGTGTTGTGTGTACAGTCTGTTACAAAAAAAACCTTTCTTTAGATTTAAGAATCTCGAACGGTTGGTATTCACTATAGGGCGATATTTTTGTGTACGACTGTCGCGAGTGAACTACCTTAAACTAATTTTGAAATGTTGAGGTGACAAAATTGGCTAAAACTTGTTTTTAAATAAAATGTACTGCTCTACATATTTCTCTTACATGTGTTAAGTACCCAAATTTAATATTAATATGCAGTGAGCAAAAAATTTGTAATTTTTTTGCTTCCTACAATTTTCTTAAAAATCTGATGTGTCCAACACATGACTTTCCTATCCAGTTATTATAGGCTTTTCCTGGTTATTTTGTACAACCTATTGCAGCACCTCTATAATTGTTTAGAGGATAAACTAAATATATACATTTTCCACATACATCTCCTCGAAATATTTTTCTATATTCATTGAAAACGAAAATACTGAAAAATTTTAATTTAGCACTTTTCCTACAATTTTTCCATTACGGTCCAAAAATTATAGAGATCGATATCGCAAACAACTTTTAGTTCAACAATTTTCATAAAAATCAGAATTTTGCACATTTTGTCAAATTTATTGAATACGGATCATTTCAGGAAATTTTGACATAATACAAAAATTATAGATAATAATATTAGGAGTAACTTTTATTTGAACAATTTTCTTCTCCAAACATAAATAACAGATATATTCCATAAAACATAAAAACGGCTTATCATAAAGTATCCCCCCAGATGTTCCGACTTTGTCCAAAATCTAATCATTTCACGTCAGGCCGAAATAAACCTTAAATTTAAAATTTAATGTTTTTTTCTTTATCCGTTTTTGAGTTTTCTTCAAAATTCGAAATTTACACATTTTCTCAAATATCTCGAATACGGTCCATTTTAGAGAAATTATGTATGGGATGAAAATTATATTACAAACAACTTTTGTTTGAACAATTTTTATGAAAAAATATTTTTTTACATTTTGTCAAATTTTTCGAATACGGACCATTTTAGGAAAATTTTGTATAGAACAAAAATTATAGATAATAATATAAGAAGTAACTCTTATATGAAAAATTTTCTTCTTCAAACGTAAATAACAGATATATTCCGTAAAATATAAAAATGACCCCCCCAGATGTTCCGACTCTACCCAAAATCTAATCAGCTTATTGGACACACACACACACACACACACACACACACACACACACACACACACACACACACACACACACACACACACACACACCCACACACGCACACAACACACGCACACAACACACACAACACACACAACACACACACAACACACACACACACACACACACACACACACACACACACACACACACACACACACACACACACACACACACACACACACACACACACACACACACACACACATCATCGCGCGAAAATAGTCAAAACGGATTCAGGGGACCTCAAAACGTAAAAATCCGTCGAAAACTCGAGGTCGAAAAAAATCATGATTCATATACTTTCCTTATATCTGTATACAGATAGGAAAGTAAAAACAAAAAATTTTCTGAAAAGGAGAAGAAACTGGTTCTATCAATAGCTGAAATGACACCCAAACAACAACAACGAAAGCAACGAAAAATTGGGAGAAAACACAAGACGACACAGGTTAAACCGAAAAGCTGACGTTCGGCTCCAAGAATTTTTGATCATTCTATAAATTTACGAAACTAGTAAATATTTTCGAACAAAAATAATACTTTTGCGTTTAGAGAATTTTTAAATAACCGGTACCCTGGACAGTGGATTGGAAGGAGAGGCCTAATTAAATGGCCTTCAAGGTCACCAAGAATCTCTCGTCTTGCGGCATCACTATACTATTTTCAACGATACCTTCTCTTACAGGCTGGATCCTGGATCGAAACTATAGTCTATTTTTATGTATGAGAGAGTAATAAAACAGCATTTCTAATGCAAAACTTAGTACGGTCATTTTAAATATTTTTACAGAATAATCTAAATATTTCCTAAAATTGTAATAAATGTACCTGAGCTATTACAAGTTTTGGGTCTTTTATTGGTCCTTTATAAACATAAGCTGTACAGAACAATAGAAAAAGGTTTGGACAGGCCAAAAGCCCTGTGTAATTAAGATTACATAGCCGTATCTTAAGATTATTTTCAATAAGTACCTATTTGCCAATTTTTTTGAATTTTAAATTCAAGAATTTCTTACAGTAATTGAATTATAAGTAGATAAATATCTTCCCAACAAATTTCACCGAAAATGCGATTATAGGTTTTCCATTTAGTAAGGAGGTCCAAGTTGTGTTTTCTTGACAGTTTACTAAATGTCGTTAAGTTGCAACTTGCAAGGTGCAGTGTGAATTCTAGTGTGATCATGGAAAATTTGGAAGGGCCGCGTAAACGACAAAAAATCGGTCCTTTAACAGTTAATGAAAAAACATTAATATTTTATTGTTTTAAATCATTTACAGACAAACATTTATGTAAAAGTGTTGATGACACAGTGGAATTAGTTAGTAGTACGCTTGGTGTTGGGAAATCTACGATTTATAGAGTTGTTAAAGAAGAGAAATATGGCGAGTTTCAAACAGCACGTAAAGCTCCAGAAAAACCAAAATTTCAATTAGAAAATCTTTTGAAAGAAAGACTTCGAAGGAAAGTGCATGCGTTCTTCTTTAGAAAAGAATTTCCGACAGTAGACAAAGTTCTTGCCACGGTTCGAGATGATAAGGATTATCCTGAAGTGAGTCGAAGCACACTATGGAAACTTTTAAAAGAAATAGGTTTTCTATGGAAAAAGCATTCCAGAAAGTCTATTTTAATAGAAAGAGGCGATATTGTAGTATGGAGAATAAATTACCTAAGGACTATAAAAGAAATGAGAAACCAAAGAAGAAATATATTTTATTTAGATGAAACATGGATCAACGAGGGACATAAACCAAATAAATTTTGACAAGATGAAACTGTTACAAGTCGAAGACAGGCTTTTTTAAATAATTTATCTACTGGTTTAAATCCACTATCAGGAAAGGGGCGCAGACTAATAATAGTACACATCGGTAGTTCAAACGGTTTTGTTAAAGGTGGTTTATTGACTTTTGAATCTACTCGTACCGGTGACTACCATGAGGACATGAATGCTGATGTCTTTAAAGAGTGGTTCGAACAAATTATAGATCTTCTTCCTCAGAACTGTATAATAGTAATGGATAATGCAATGTTATCACTCGAGACTTATAGAAAAAATGCCCACAACCAAGTGGTTAAAAAAAGATTTACAGAATTGGCTAAATTCAAAGAATATTAAGTTCCATCCCGGTTCTGTGAGAAAAGAACTGTATCATTTATGTTCCTTTCATAAAGAGAAATTCAAAAAATATGAAATTGATGAAATTGCAAAAAATCGTGGGATAACGGTGGTTAGATCAGCACCATATCATTGCGAAGTAAACCTGATTGAACTGATATGGGCACAGATAAAGGGAGAAGTTTCAATAAGAAATAATTCTTTTAAAATGAGTGATGTTAAACAGTTGTTTTTGGAGGTTGTAAATAATGTGAAGCCTGAAAACTGGGAAAAGGCAGTAAATCATACGATTAAAGAAGAAGAGAAAATGTGTAAGTTGGACAATATTACTGATGAAATGATCGAGCCACTCATTGTAAATATTGGTTGCGACAGTTCATCTTCTGATTTCGATTCTGATTTGGATTTGTAGGTAAGAAGTAGTTTTTATATTAAAATTAATATTTATGAACCTAACGTTGTTTAAAAGTTAAAGTTTAAACCCTTATACCTACATAACCCGTTTGATACAATGTTCTTAACATACCTTGTGGAAAAATAAAACATTTTAGAAAAAATTGCACTTTTTTACCTTCAGCTGTTTAGAAGTTATAAGCAGGTTAATTAGGTGAACATATAAGTGTATACTCGAGGAATTACTTCAAAAAATATTTGAACTGTCTACTAAAAGAAGCGCCTATGGATTACGAACGCTTTATTATTTTAATACTCTCTCATAAATAAAAATAGACTATAGTTTATTTACTGTTTTTTTTATTATCCTTCTGTGGTTAAGACTGTGTTTTTCTTTTTTCTTTAATATTGCTTCCTTTTTTTTCTAAATTAATAATGCATCAAAATACCAATTCTCGAACGAAAAAAATATTTACAACATAAATTAATTTTGTTGCCTGTTCCCATCTCTTTAACGCGTCGCAAATTATTGTCATAACAATTATTATTATATCAACTATTTTATCGTCGTTGATTGATTAAAATTTCTGTATGAAAAAGGATTACTATAAAAAGCGACTCTTCTTAGGCTCATTGATCACTTCCTAAAAGTCAAAGAGTGTTTAATTGTCATGTGTTAAAAATCAAGAAAAGTAAGTAATTATTATTTTATAGCTTCTTTGTTCTTATTTTGAATTTTTTCATATATATAAATTTTAACAAAATATGGAGGAGTGCGGTTTGAGATCGGATCTACCTCAAATGTTTTGGAGGTGTTGCATAAACAAGCCAATATTTTTCATTTATATATTTTTAAAAACCAGATAAACACAAGCATACCCTTTTTGTCTGGAAATTCAGGATGGGTTCAATTTTCATTATTTTGGAACTTACTTTACCATTTTCAATGCATGTTTTGGTTTGCTATACATCATCAGCATTAATTGAATTTTAAGATCTTTAAAAGACTACAAATAATAAAAAATAAGTTATCGTTCATATTTATTGTAATTTATCTTTTTTGTGACATAAAATTTATTATTAGAACACAAAGTTTGCGAAAAATCTTAAGTTAATACAAATTAGCAGAATGAGTTCATTTTGTAAGCATTATGACCTTACAACATACCTACTGTTTATTTATTTTTTAATAAAAACATGATAAACTTGTGTTTATTGAGATACAAATATTTCTAAATGACTTTAGATACTAAAACAACACCCAGCTTGATAAATATACTGTATAATAAAACTTTAATCGGGTCGGTGGTGTAGCGGTCTAACGCGCTTATATTCATTATTTATTAGCAAGTTTATGTGTCAGAGACTGCTGGGCTTCGAATCCCAGGCCAGACCATGTGGATTTTTAATTAAATTGCATGGTTCGGTATAGGATTTGATGTGTGCCGTATTAATAGAAATTCAATTTCTGTTGATACGACATGCAGATTATAAAAAATCGCCATACATTACCGTCTTGATGATGGTGGGTGAGGTTTTCCGGGTTTTCCTCACCTGTAAGTCAAATGGCACCATCAATCATCTTTAAGTTGCCCCGGAGCGCCACGGCAAATAATAATAATAGCCGTCCCTTTCCCCTCATAAGCTCAGCTTTTGGGGTTAAAATTTACTCGTAAGGGGTGAATTAGGGAGAGTAATATTAATATATTATTATAATACCTAAATTCAGAAAATAATGCACATTTTTGTTATTCATTTACATTTATTTTTATAATGGTATCTAAATAAAGGCATAAAAATACATCCAAATAAAATGTCTATTGATAATATTGTGCAAAAGTGACAGACCACTTTTAAAACTCATTATTTTATCTAAACAAAAAACCTAATTTTATATCAATTTATTTTAAATAGTCAGAAGCAGTGTAACATTTATTTCGGCAAAAAATAAACTCAAATTAAAAATAGATTTTTAAAACATTTAATTATTTTTTGTAAGTCAAAAATCTACAAATTTTACATTCTATAAAAATATAACTATAAAATAATATAACTTAAAAGAAATTTTTCTTTCTAACTTTGATTTCCCCAAATGCTTTTATTACATCTTTTGAGTTAATTGGATCAGCAATTTCATGTTCAATCGCTAAAATGGCCAACCCATTAAGACGATTTTGCGCTGTAGTTGAACGTAAAAATTTCCTAATCAATTTTAATTTGGAAAACCTTGCAACAGTTACTGATATAGACAGCAATACTCTTAAAGAAACACTTAAAAAAACACCCCATTAATATCAACATAAAAATAATTTCTAGATCGTTGCGTTTTAAAAGATTTTCTTTAGACATACTCTTTATAATATTTATTTTTATTTATTTTTATTTTTATTTATTTTTATCTATTTTTATTTATTTTTATTTATTTTTATTTATTTTTATTTATTTTTATTTATTTTTATTTATTTTTATTTATTTTTATTTATTTTTATTTATTTTTATTTATTTTTATTTATTTTTATTTATTTTTATTTATTTTTATTTATTTTTATTTATTTTTATTTATTTTTATTTATTTTTATTTATTTTTATTTATTTTTATTTATTTTTATTTATTTTTATTTATTTTTATTTATTTTTATTTATTTTTATTTATTTTTATTTATTTTTATTTATTTTTATTTATTTTTATTTATTTTTATTTATTTTTATTTATTTTTATTTATTTTTATTTATTTTTATTTATTTTTATTTATTTTTATTTATTTTTATTTATTTTTATTTATTTTTATTTATTTTTATTTATTTTTATTTGTTTTTATTTATTTTTATTTATTTTTATTTATTTTTATTTATTTTTATTTATTTTTATTTATTTTTATTTATTTTTTTTATTTTTATTTATTTTTATTTATTTTTATTTATTTTTATTTATTTTTATTTTTATTTTTTTTTTTAGTTAGTGTGGACTAAACTGTCGCGATGTCGTTTTTATTAGTTCACTCTTCATATTTTTAATACGTATGTCTACAATAATGCAAATTTAACTGTAGTTACATGTAATCTAGGATGCACTGACAAACAAACAATTTGTTGCATATTTAACCGTAATTTTTAATTCTGATCAACTTTTTTTAGTAACATTTTTCGATATTGTCAAATTTAAAGGTACTTTACTCTTGAGAAAAACTCATATTTTTTGACAAACCTCGTATACCACTGAAAAAAAATAATATTTGATGACTGTATTTTAGGTTTTAGATAGTGCAGAACTTTTTATGACGAATAACTTTTTTCCTAAAATTAATAATAAAAAAGTTTTCCATATATTATGATTCAAACTTAGGGGGACATACTGTATATCTTCTCTTAACTTATAACTATTCTAACTCTGTTTTTATAGCACCTACCGCATTTTAAATAACCTTTAAAAACACTTTATTTTTCTTTTTTTTTCGCCATTGCTATTGCTGAAAAACAAAATTATTTCACATATCGTTTTCAAATACTCGGAAGTGACTTATATCAAAAAATCCTGTATTTCCTCCAAAATTTTGATTTAAAGATCTATTTGATTAGACTAATAGCAATAAATTTCTCCAATAGCTGTTTTAATATTAAAAAAGAAAGATTATTTGATTACCTGTATCAGGATTTAAATAATGATTATTATTAATAAAAATCTTTGTTTTATTTTGCAGTTTATTATTGGAAATTGTCTGTCTCAAAGTGACCATCTGCATGTTGTCAAAAATTATCCAAAGTTAAACTATATCAGCACCAGAAGGGCTTCGTCATGTTTTTGACACATTCCATTTATATCAGTTTTGCTGCAAGTAAGTTGATAGGCAAATATAAATTTATTCTAATTTATTTCAATATTTGTGCTTTTTATTGCAGGCTTTTGTCTTTATATTGGTGGAAATGCAGCTCCAAGCAATGTTGGGTAAGTTTTTATATTTAGTGTCATGTTAATCTGTTTTAAAAGTTAAGTATTTATTAAAAAATGAAACATTTTCACGTCTCTTAACCTATTGAGACAGCAACTGGAATACAGGGTGTCCCAAAAGTCACTAGGTGATTTAAAAATATAATAACGTCTGACTTGTAAGGATTTAAAAAAAAAATGAATCAGTTTTGGAAACTAGAAGCTTGGGAGATTTGTTATGGAGTAATTCACCGTTGCCCAAAGAGTCGCTATTCTGAAACTCCATCGATTAATTACAGAAACTTAAATAGTATTTCGCAGACTTTTCAATGCATTAACTTCTTCCTCGCAAATGACTATGCGCAATTTAGTTGCACGTTTTCGACAACAGGGGTCTGTAGCCAACCTCCTCCAGTTGGGTCGATCACGTACTGCCAGAACAGAAGAAAACATTAAGCACGTAGAGATCAGCATAGAAGAGATTTCCTTCTACTCAGCTAGGGCTACCCTGATTCAGTCTCCATAGAGTTTTGAAGCATTTACGTATGTCCATCAATTGCGTCCTATAGACAGCGAACTGAGTTTGCCATTCGTTTTCAACAGTTCTGTAGAGAAGAAATGGATTTTCTGAAGAAATTAATCAATTAAGCACATTTTCATCTGAATGAATTTGTAAACAAACAAAACTGTAGATTTTGGGGAACAGAAAATCCAAGGGTGGTTCATGACCGAGAACTTCAGCTAATAAAATGTACAGTTTGGTGGGGAGTCACCAGACAACGCATCATTGGACCATTCTTATTAGAAGATGATGATGGCAATGCTGAAACTGTTACTGGAGAATGATACAGACTCATGCCCCAAAATTTTTTACGTCTTGTTCTAGAAAACATGCCAGAGATGTGGTTTCAGCTTACATAGCCAGCAACATTGCAGCTCCTGCGAGAAATTTTGGGCAATCGAATAATTTAGATATTTTTCGATATTGTGTACCCTACACGTTCGCCTGAGCTGACAGCTCCAGACTTATTCCAGTAGGGTTATCTCAAGCAGAAAGTTTATATGAATAAACCCAGAATCCTTGACTAACTGAAGGAGAACATTCGACAAGAAATGCGGCGTTTAAATGCGCAAATTCTAACACCTGTCATGCAAAACGCGCCGAAAAGAGCAAAAATGGAAGACATTTGAACGATTTGATCTTCAATAATTAGAAAAAACTCCATTACATATAATATTTATTTACTAAAAAAGTTTTTGAAAATCTAATTGTCATAATATTAAACATAAACAGCGGCAACGTTGCGGTGAGCGATCTGCCGCTGACGCCATCAAGCTAGAATCGGCTAGAACCGACCAGCCGGACCAGCGCGTTAGTGTTCGAAAACGATCAGGATTGCTTTGAACGGGATAAATACGCACAGCGCGGCGATATTGCGCATAGTTTAAAACTGAACGCGTAACCAACGTCCAGCGGTTGGGTTAATAGAGAACAACAAAAAATAATATTATGGCAAGCAATTGTAAGAAGGTAAAGACATACCACTTTCATTCGGAATGGGAAGAACAATACTTTTTTTACAGAAGTTAAAAATAAAAATATGTGTTTGTTATGTAATACTTCGGTCTCCGTTGCTAAAAAAGGAAATATTGAGAGACATCATAAAACTGTACATTCTAATTTTGAAAAATCATTCCCACTACATTCTTCTGCCAGAAAGGAGAAACTGAAACAGTTAAAAAAGCAGTTAATTGGACAACAATCAATATTTTTAAGAACAGTCGACAAAAATAAGGCTACAACTGAAGCATCGTACCGTGTGTCCCAGATAATTGCACAAAAAAAGAAACCTTATGAAGACGGGGAAATGATAAAACAGGCGTTTTTAGAAGCTGCTAATTCGTTATTTGCCAACTTTAGAAGTAAAGACGAGATAGTTTCAGCTATAAAATCTATGCAACTTTCTGCTAATACAGTGATGAGACGTGTAGAAGTAATGAGCAATGATATTTTTTTACAGTTAAGAACTGACTTAGATAACTGTGTTTATTTTTTACTTCAACTGGATGAATCAACAGATGTCGTTGACACTGCCCAGATGGCTGTGTTCGTCAGAATGGTTTTTAGTGATTTTACGATTAAAGAAAATCTTTTGAAGTTTATTCCACTGAAAGAACACACTACTGGACAGGAGTTGTTTTCTCATTTAAAAAATATTATTTCTTCCGAGAAAATTCCAATATCGAAAATGGTAGGCTTGACAACCGATGGCGCTCCAGCTATGGTGGGTTATGATAAGGGTCTGGTGGCGTTATGTCGTAAAGATAAAACTTTTCCGCAATTTCTCTGTTACCACTGCATTATCCATCAGTAAGCATTATGTGGAAATTTCCTAAAACTAAACAACGTTATGAAACTGGCGGTAAAAATTGTGAACAAGATTAGAGCTCAAGCGTTACAAAGAAGATTATTTAAAACTTTGGCCGATGAAGTTGACTGTCAATACGGGGGCCTACTCCTTCACTCTGAAGTCCGATGGTTAAGTAGGGAACGGGTGCTGAAACGTTTTAATGATGTCCTATCTGGCATAGTTCAATTTTTCAAACAACGCGATAAACCGACTCCGGAACTAGAAAATTAAATCTGGCTTAAAGATTTTGGTTTTCTCGTGGACATTACAGATAAATTAAACGAACTTAATTTTCAGCTTCAGGGGAGAGACAAAGAACTAGCGGAAATGATTTCTGATATAAAAGCATTTATCAAAAAGCTGGAGTTTTTGGAACAAAACCTAATTAACAGCGATGCCAAGCATTTTCCTATTCTTTCAGAAAAAATATCTCAAAATCCATTAGAACCCTATGACAGCAAATATCATGTAGAAATAGTTTCTACCCTGAAGAATAACTTCAAAAATCGTTTTAAGGATTTCAACGAAATGGCTTTAGTAGCGCAGTTTGTTGTTTCACCCTTTATGGAAATTGATATCCAACAGTTTGCAACTTGTGTTATGTAGAACTTTGGCAAGACATCGCTGCAACAGAAATGGATGTAATTGAGTTTAGCCTTAAAATCGTTAGTCTCAAGTACCAAATGTATCTGGCCTATTGTAAGTAAAGACAAATATTCAGTTCTATGCCGTGTTGCCTTGAAAGTGAAAGCATTATTCAGTTCAACCTATTTGTGTGAATCTTCTTTTTCCAATATGAAGTTTATTAAGAACAAATATGGCAATCGACTTACAGATAAACATTTGGATAACTGTATTCGAATGGCTGTATCAAATTATACTGCAAACATTAAAAAAAATTTCGATGAGTCTGAGTGTCAGCCTTCTCATTGAACGTGCTTTTTTATTTTTCAATGTTTATGTTCATGATAGTGCGTTACTTTTTTGTTGTTGTTATTATTAACTATTTTTAAATCTTACGTGACATACCGTTGTGGCTGGATAAAAGTTTGTGTTTATTTTGCAAACACCTTCGTTTGGTAGGTAGGAATGTAGCTATGAACAAGTACGTAATAGTCATATTAGTTATTTTGTTATTAGTTTATTATTAGTACCTATGTATTATGTATTACCAGTTAAATAGTAAAATAAATACATATAATGATAAATTAATTGTGGATTATATCATTTACGTTGCGTTACGTGGCTTCCGTGTGGGTAGCTCGCTGTTTATTCCAAAATTAACAAAGTAGCTCAACACATTGAAAGTTTGGCGCCACTGCTGTACATATTGATTTAAAATGAGAAATTTTATTAATGATTTATGTAATTACAAAGGTTCAATATAAATTAAACAAAAAAAAAATATTTTTAAAAAAGTACATGGCCAAAATATTTAGAAATATTAGTGATGCGATAATTTTTGTGCGGTGTGTATAATGTCAAGCCTGAGAGAAAAATTTTACTGAACTTAGGTAAAAATGCGAGAGTATCCCAGGAAGAAATAGCAGCTTAGCACAACTGCACAAAAGAGGTATTAAGACATTACGTAAATGGAAAAACTATTGTCTTATACTCATTTCTATGCAGATAATTTAAAAACTTTTGTAGGAATGTTTGGAAACCCTAATAGAACTGGGTAGTCAAAACAGACTAACCTTAGCCTGAGTACCAGACCACAAAGGATATAGGGCTGTTAATAGCTCGAGAAGAAGTCTCTAAGGCTCTTTTTGGGCAAACTTTTTGTGTGGTATCACAAAGACAACCATCAAAGTATGCATAAAGCAGTGTATGTTGGACAAATATCAGGAATGCTGAAAAAATTAATCAGGACCAAAATAGGCTAGAGAGTTCTTAAAAGGACTATATCGCAAAACTCAACAAGTATCTAGAAAACCAGAATAGGAAAAATAGTAGAATACCAATAGACCTAATTTAGCAGGAAGGGGAGGAAACTGCAGTGTACGTGTTGTGCTGCTGCGAAAGTCTATTAACACTGAGATTCCTTACACATGGATAAGAATAACTCAAAGCAATTAACTATTCTAGACAGCTAGTTCCTAATCTATTAGATTTAAAAGAAAATACCAAACTATACTAAGTACTCTCACCAATGATCAAAGGATATCACATCTATAATTGATCTGATAATGTCGAAGTGAGGGAGGCTAAATGGGTACCTACATGTAAATTGGGTCCCGAAAATACGGACGAGCAAAAATACTATGTGAATTCGGACACGTAATTTATTTCGTATCAGCTAGAATAGTGTAAATTCGGTCCCGGTGACCCCTTGAGTAAACAAATTAAAATCGGCAATAATAGTGATTGAATAGTTTTATTAATTTTTAAATCAATATCGAAAGGATACACATTTTTTAAACTGCACACTAAAGGCAGCCTATAGCACTTTGCCAAACTTAATTGAATTGCGTGATAATGATTCGTAATTTGGCAAACATATCGTAATACTTGGGATTACTACAGCTGGTAATTTCACCTAGAAAGAGCTGTTATGACCGAATATACCCATCGATAAAGGGACTTTAAATATACATATTTTATCTATGACATGTCGGGATCCAAATCACCAACACCCGGTTAAATGGCAGCTAGTGCTAACCAAATGTGATCTAATCTTGGGCGTCACTTTGTTAAAATTCCAGAGGGTAGGTGAGGTTGAAACTGATATAAATTCTCTAACGCCTATTCTGTAAAACTATATGCTACGAGTATAAATATTTTAAAATAGCGTATTTTATAAAAATTGCCTTTTTTGTAGCAAATGTATCTTACCAAATCACCCTCCAAATGGAAAATGGGAGATTATAGGAGAATCTGAATCAAGACCAGGATCAAGAGTGCCATTTGCTACTATTCTAACATTTTCCTGTGACGAATTATATAGACTGTCAGAAGACCACAGCGCGATAACTTGTCTTGGTGAAGGTTGGAGCGCACCTCCTTTGGAATGTCTACGTAGGTATTTTTTACATAAATGATTTTTAACTGTTCTGATTACTGTGTGACTATCACAAAAATTAATATACACAGATTTTAAATAATAATAATAATAATAATAAATTTTAAATAACTTCCCATAGTTGACCGCGATGTTATTAATATTAATTGGGGTTTTATTGAGAAAAGAATCTTTTATTAATCGAAAAAACAAAATATATTAACTTTGACTATTTTCTAAAATTATTAATGTGACAGCTATCCTTCTTACAAGTGAATGATGCAAAATCTGTATGATATTCCATGTATTTTTCTTTACATCGTTTATAGTCTATTTTTATGTATGAGAGAGTAGTAAAATAATAAAGCGTTCGTAATCCATAGGCATACCACTTCTTTTAGTAGACAGTTAAAATATTTTTTGAAGTTATTCCCCGAGTATACACTTATATTTTCACCTAATTAACCTGCTTATAACTTCTAAACAGCTGAAGGTAAAAAAGTGCAATTTTTTCTAAAATGTTTTATTTTTCCACAAGGTATGTTAAGAACATTGTGTCAAACGGGTTATGTAGGTATTACGGTTTAAACTTTGACTTTTAAACAACGTTACGTTCATAAATAATAATTTTAACATAAAAACTAGTTAGGTAATTTCTTCTCCATACTACAATATCGCTTCTTTCTATTAAAATAGACTTTCTGGAATGCTTTTTCCATAGAAAACCTATTTTTTTTTAAAGTTTCCATAGTGTGCTTCGACTCATTTCAGGGTAATCCTTATCATCTCGAACCGTGGCAAGAACTTTGTCTACTGTCGGAAATTCTTTTCTAAAGAAGAACGCATGCACTTTCCTTCGAAGTCTTTCTTTCAATAGATTTTCTAATTGAAATTTTGGTTTTCCTGGAGCTTTACGTGCTGTTTGAAACTCGCCACATTTCTCTTCTTTAACAACTCTGTAAATCGTAGATTTCCCAACACCAAGCGTGCTACTAACTAATTCCACTGTGTCATCAACACTTTTACATAAATGTTTGTCTATAAATGATTTAAAACAATTAAATATTAATGTTTTTTCATTAACTGTTAAATGACCGATTTTTTATCGTTTACGCGGCCCTTCCAAATTTTCCATGATCACACTAGAATTCACACTGGACCTTGCAAGTTGCAACTAAACGACATTTAGTAAACTGTCAAGAATACACAACTTGGACCTCCTTACTAAATGGAAAACCTATAATCGCATTTTCGGTGAAATTTGTCGGGAAGGTATTTATCTACTTATAATTCGAATACTGTAAGAAATTCTTGGAATTAAAATAAAACAAAATTGGCAAATAGGTACTTATTGAAAATAATCTTAAGATACGGCTATGTAATCTTTAATACACAGGGCTTTTGGCCTGTCCAAACTTTTTTCTATTGTTCTGTACAGATTACGTTTATAAAGGACCAATAAAAGACCCAAAACTTGTAATAGTTCAGGTACATTTATTACAACTTTAGGAAATATTTAGATTATTTTGTAAAAATATTTAAAATGACCGTACTAAGTTTTGCATTAAAAATGCTGTTTTATTACTCTCTCATACATAAAAATAGACTATAACAAGTCATTTCTATCACTAGTTATCTCAACTCTCGCTCTAGAAAAATAGTTATGTTAAGCATATCTATAAAGATTTAATAAATTTTTGTTTTATATTTTAAATAAAAGAAAATACATACATACATACTTACATTGACATCTTTCAGAAAACTAAACAAAAAAACTAACGCTATGAATGTTTTAATTGAGGGGTCTAGAACCAAAGGCGGCAATTCTTCATTGTCAAGAAATTAAACAAATTTTAAATATTGTATTCCTCTTCGAATGTGGGTTTTCAATAATGCATCAGTTTTGGAATGCATTCAAAGTTCGTCATTTGCTTCCGACATATCTTCATCTTTGGGTTCGAATGAAAGCACTAAGACATTGGGTCTTTGATGCCTTTAATGGTGTCCAATTTTTTTATTAATTTCAATTCATCAAAAACATTCTATTTTTCTACCTACACATCATCAAGTTACAATTCTTCTATTCAGGTCAGAACATTTAAATCTTTTTCATGCCGGTCCTCAACATCCATAAAAGTCTAATTTTTAAATTTTAAAACAAATCGAACGATTTTATATATTTAGAAATAATATTAACAATCAAAATATTTTAGTACCAACAAAGCAATACAAACAATAAAATCAAATTCACTAAAAATTTGACATTTTTGATGCTTTGAAGATAAATTGGTTTATAACTCAATAAAGAGGCATGGGCGAAGTTAGGGGGGGCTTGGGGGGCTAAGCCCCCCCAAAAACCAAATTAGCCCCCCCAAAAATAATTCGAACATTTATCGCACATCTATCCACACATTTCAGATTTCAGAACAGAAATTAATAAATAAAGAAAAATCGTGCCATTTGATTGATTCTGAAATTTTACATTTAGTTCAGGAGTCAGTGAATTTTACTCGTACTCATTTTTCCAATCGGTGTATATGAAAATAAACTGTTCTCTTAGTGACAAAAAACAAACATTTTGAGTCTGACACTTATTTTCCCAGTCATAAATATTTTACATTTACTAAACTAGAACATAAAGCTTATAAAAATAGCAGTTTGGAATATCTCAGATAGTGGAAAGTGAGTGTGGCAGAAAATTTAGCATATAAATTGATACAATCATGAACTGTTAATAATAATAAGTCTGGCTGATTTACGAAATTGGCAAATGAGTCTGGTATCTTCAAAATCGAAAAAATATAATATTTTTGCTTTTATTTTCCCGGGTTTGAAAATTTGTCATGTGATAGATTATATTATAATTTTACAGTTTTATTTTATAGCAGATCAAATACCGTTATTTTCAAACGCTTCCATGAAAAATTTCCGGAAATTTTTCTTTTGGTGGGTACCCTAAACGAAATTATACTGAAACTTTTTTTGACAGTTGAGAAGCTCTTTTATGCATATGTTTTATTTGTTGTTCTATGGCCAGCTTTGAAAATTTGATTTTAGTCGTTTTAATGTATGTCTGTCAAGTTTTGAAATTTGGATATTTTGGTGTAAAATTTTCTTACCCAATACATACCACTGGTGCCTAAATTATTATCAGTAAATTTTTGCTCACTCACGCATATTTTAAGAAAAATATCAATCGTCTTCGACTCAGGATAAATTTCAAAATATTCGTAAGTTCGAAAAAATTTTCGGAAATAATTTAGGCACTAGTGGTATTCTAAGTGAAAACATAGGTCTGGCTGACAATTAAAATCACGAAGGCATGTCAGACTCACAAGTAGTGTCAGGCCGAAGGTTCGGTTACGGTTTTGGCCAACTTCGGCTTAAAATAAGAGTTTCGACTACAGTTTCGGTTTCGGCGGAAAACTGGCCGAAACTCTAGCCAACTACGAAACTACTTTCGAAAGTTTTCGTATCACACTTGGTTGTGTCCGGCACAATGGCGACTGTGCCGGGTGCCATTCCTACATAGTGCACGTACTTCTCTGCTTTGTTTCAAGTGAACAGTCTTCAGTGCTCCTGAACGGATCATACTAAAATTATGAAATTATATGAAGTTATTAATTGCTTAAAGCTAATAACAAAAATAAATAGTTCGTATATTTTGACGGATCGAATTGAAAAATATATGGTGATTCTGAAAAAGGAATATTTTTTTAATTATTGCTACTACAAAAACGAATTAGATGTGCCTATCACCCTGTGTTCCGTAAAAAGTATTGTTTTCTAGGTATTAAATGTATAATCATTATTAATAACAAATTCCCTAATATACAGAGTGTAATTTTTTTTTAAGAAACACCTTTGTGTGGAATGAATTACCAATCACCCTGTATACATATAATGTAAAATGGGTTTATATAATGTCAGAATAGTAAAAATTATGTAAGTTTTTATTTTTGACCATGTTTTCATTCCATATCAAAATCTCTCAGAATTTAAAAAATTCCCCCTGATGTAACTGAGTACCACCCTGTATATGTTTACATTTTGAACTATTTATGTGTACGTTTGCGTTAGACTAGGACATATTAATGCTACAATCAACTAAAATTGCTTATTTTTTTCTTTTTAATTAAGTTACGTAGTTTCAAAAAAATAAGATTTTTCGACTTTAACACCCTGTATTTTAAAAACTAGTCATAGGATTGAATTGGTCCCATGAACACTTTTGGTCAACAAGTCGAGTACAACATCATATTCAAAATTTATTACATTTGACGGAACGCCACTTTGCCATTAGAAAAGGGCGGGGTCCTTTATTAATGGCTTCTTTGGATCACATAAATAAATAGGTAATAAGTAAATGTAGCTAAAATTTATAATACGAGTTAATTAGTCTTAAACAAAGATATTGCAAATTTCAATAAGAGATTGCCTTAAAAGAAAGTTCTTATTTCTGTTTCGGTTTCGACCGAAACTAAGAAAGGAGCCGAAATTGGGTTTCGGTTTCGGTTATAAAACCGTATTTCGGTCGGACTTGACAAGCCAGGGGGTCGATTCTCAACTTTTATTCCCATGGGAAAATAAAATTTTCCCATGGGAATTCAGTTTTCGTATTCTCGGCATAAGCGGTGGAATATTTTCCAATGAGAAAAATGGGAAAATATTCCCCTGCTTGCGAGCATTGGAAATTGTGTTTTCCAATGGGAATTGTACTAGAGTTTGCGAATTAAAGTCGAAAATTTGACGAAAGACCACGCGAAAGTCTAAGACATAACCAAAGATTATTGGATATCTTGGATTTTTGGTGAAATTGTAGTTAAAACATGTTTTTTGTGTATTTATAAATTGATATTATTTTATTTATGTGGGTATATTATTTTTACCTCTCTTTCACTAAGAAACTGATTTTCTTAAATTAGTTAGAAATTGTGGGAGCTGCTAAGGGACTGGCAAATAGGTAACACAAATTGAGAAATTTGTAGTAAATTTAATAAGACCTTTTCGAAAATTT